GACTAGACTATAGACTAGACTATAGACTAGACTATAGACTAGACTATAGACTAGACTATAGACTAGACTATAGACTAGACTATAGACTAGACTATAGACTAGACTATAGACTAGACTATAGACTAGACTATAGACTAGACTATAGACTAGACTATAGACTAGACTATAGACTAGACTATAGACTAGACTATAGACTAGACTATAGACTAGACTATAGACTAGACTATAGACTAGACTATAGACTAGACTATAGACTAGACTATAGACTAGACTATAGACTAGACTATAGACTAGACTATAGACTAGACTATAGACTAGACTATAGACTAGACTATAGACTAGACTATAGACTAGACTATAGACTAGACTATAGACTAGACTATAGACTAGACTATAGACTAGACTAAGACTAGACTATAGACTAGACTATAGACTAGACTATAGACTAGACTATAGACTAGACTATAGACTAGACTATAGACTAGACTATAGACTAGACTATAGACTAGACTATAGACTAGACTATAGACTAGACTATAGACTAGACTATAGACTAGACTATAGACTAGACTATAGACTAGACTATAGACTAGACTATAGACTAGACTATAGACTAGACTATAGACTAGACTATAGACTAGACTATAGACTAGACTATAGACTAGACTATAGACTAGACTATAGACTAGACTATAGACTAGACTATAGACTAGACTATAGACTAGACTATAGACTAGACTATAGACTAGACTATAGACTAGACTTTAGACTAGACTATAGACTAGACTAGACTAGACTATAGACTAGACTATAGACTAGACTATAGACTAGACTATAGACTAGACTATAGACTAGACTATAGACTAGACTATAGACTAGACTATAGACTAGACTATAGACTAGACTATAGACTAGACTATAGACTAGACTATAGACTAGACTATAGACTAGACTATAGACTAGACTATAGACTAGACTATAGACTAGACTATAGACTAGACTATAGACTAGACTATAGACTAGACTATAGACTAGACTATAGACTAGACTATAGACTAGACTATAGACTAGACTATAGACTAGACTATAGACTAGACTATAGACTAGACTATAGACTAGACTATAGACTAGACTATAGACTAGACTATAGACTAGACTATAGACTAGACTATAGACTAGACTATAGACTAGACTATAGACTAGACTATAGACTAGACTATAGACTAGACTATAGACTAGACTATAGACTAGACTATAGACTAGACTATAGACTAGACTATAGACTAGACTATAGACTAGACTATAGACTAGACTATAGACTAGACTATAGACTAGACTATAGACTAGACTATAGACTAGACTATAGACTAGACTATAGACTAGACTATAGACTAGACTATAGACTAGACTATAGACTAGACTATAGACTAGACTATAGACTAGACTATAGACTAGACTATAGACTAGACTATAGACTAGACTATAGACTAGACTATAGACTAGACTATAGACTAGACTATAGACTAGACTATAGACTAGACTATAGACTAGACTATAGACTAGACTATAGACTAGACTATAGACTAGACTATAGACTAGACTATAGACTAGACTATAGACTACACTATAGACTAGACTATAGACTAGACTATAGACTAGACTATAGACTAGACTATAGACTAGACTATAGACTAGACTATAGACTAGACTATAGACTAGACTATAGACTAGACTTAAGACTAGACTATAGACTAGACTATAGACTAGACTATAGACTAGACTATAGACTAGACTATAGACTAGACTATAGACTAGACTATAGACTAGACTATAGACTAGACTATAGACTAGACTATAGACTATAGACTAGACTATAGACTAGACTATAGACTAGACTATAGACTAGACTATAGACTAGACTATAGACTAGACTATAGACTAGACTATAGACTAGACTATAGATTAGACTATAGACTAGACTATAGACTAGACTATAGACCAGACTATAGACTGGACTATAGACCAGACTATAGACTAGACTATAGACTGGACTATAGACTAGACTATAGACTAGACTATAGACTAGACTATAGACTAGACTATAGACTAGACTATAGACTAGACTATAGACTAGACTATAGACTAGACTATAGACTAGACTATAGACTACACTATAGACTAGACTATAGACTAGACTATAGACTAGACTATATACTACACTATAGACTACACTATAGACTAGACTATAGACTAGACTATATACTACACTATAGACTACACTATAGACTAGACTATAGACTAGACTATAGACTAGACTATAGACTAGACTATAGACTACACTATAGACTACACTATAGACTACACTATAGACTAGACTATAGACTAGACTATAGACTAGACTATAGACTAGACTATAGACTAGACTATAGACTAGACTATAGACTAGACTATAGACTAGACTATAGACTAGACTATAGACTAGACTATAGGCTAGACTATAGACTAGACTATAGACTAGACTATAGACTAGACTATAGACTAGACTATAGACTAGACTATAGACTAGACTATAGACTAGACTATAGACTAGACTATAGACTAGACTATAGACTAGACTATAGACTAGACAATAGACTAGACTATAGACTAGACTATAGACTAGACTATAGACTAGACTATAGACTAGACTATAGACTAGACTATAGACTAGACTATAGACTAGACTATAGACTAGACTATAGACTAGACTATAGACTAGACTATAGACTAGACTATAGACTGGACTATAGGCTAGACTATAGACTAGACTATAGACTAGACTATAGACTAGACTATAGACTAGACTATAGACTAGACTATAGACTAGACTATAGACTAGACTATAGACTAGACTATAGACTAGACTATAGACTAGACTATAGACTAGACTATAGACTAGACTATAGACTAGACTATAGACTAGACTATAGACTAGACTATAGACTAGACTATAGACTAGACTATAGACTAGACTATAGACTAGACTATAGACTAGACTATAGACTAGACTATATAGACTAGACTATAGACTAGACTATAGACTAGACTATAGACTAGACTATAGACTAGACTATAGACTAGACTATAGACTAGACTATAGACTAGACTATAGACTAGACTAGACTATAGACTACAGACTATAGACTATAGACTATAGACTAGACTAGACTATAGACTATAGACTATAGACTATAGACTATAGACTATAGACTAGACTAGACTATAGACTAGACTAGACTATAGACTAGACTAGACTAGACTAGACTAGACTAGACTAGACTAGACTAGACTAGACTAGACTAGACTATAGACTAGACTAGACTATAGACTAGACTGACTATAGACTAGACTAGACTATAGACTAGACTAGACTATAGACTAGACTAGACTAGACTATAGACTAGACTAGACTATAGACTAGACTAGACTAGACTATAGACTAGACTATAGACTAGACTATAGACAAGACTATAGACTAGACTATAGACTAGACTAGACTATAGACTAGACTATAGACTAGACTATAGACTAGACTATAGACTAGACTATAGACTAGACTATAGACTAGACTATAGACTAGACTATAGACTAGACTATAGACTAGACTAGACTATAGACTAGACTATAGACTAGACTGTAGATTAGACTATAGACTAGACTATAGACTAGACTATAGACTAGACTATAGACTAGACTATAGACTAGACTATAGACTAGACTATAGACTAGACTATAGACTAGACTATAGACTAGACTATAGACTAGACTATAGACTAGACTATAGACTAGACTAGACTAGACTATAGACTAGACTATAGACTAGACTATAGACTAGACTATAGACTAGACTATAGACTAGACTATAGACTAGACTATAGACTAGACTATAGACTAGACTATAGACTAGACTATAGACTAGACTATAGACTAGACTAGACTATAGACTAGACTAGACTAGACTAGACTATAGACTAGACTAGACTATAGACTAGACTAGACTAGACTATAGACTAGACTATAGACTAGACTATAGACTAGACTATAGACTAGACTATAGACTAGACTATAGACTAGACTATAGACTAGACTATAGACTACATAGACTAGACTATAGACTAGACTATAGACTAGACTATAGACTAGACTATAGACTAGACTATAGACTAGACTATAGACTAGACTATAGACTAGACTATAGACTAGACTATAGACTAGACTATAGACTAGACTATAGACTAGACTATAGACTAGACTATAGACTAGACTATAGACTAGACTATAGACTAGACTATAGACTAGACTATAGACTAGACTATAGACTAGACTATAGACTAGACTATAGACTAGACTATAGACTAGACTATAGACTAGACTATAGACTAGACTATAGACTAGACTATAGACTAGACTATAGACTAGACTATAGACTAGACTATAGACTAGACTATAGACTAGACTATAGACTAGACTATAGACTAGACTATAGACTAGACTATAGACTAGACTATAGACTAGACTATAGACTAGACTATAGACTAGACTATAGACTAGACTATAGACTAGACTATAGACTAGACTATAGACTAGACTATAGACTAGACTATAGACTAGACTATAGACTAGACTATAGACTAGACTATAGACTAGACTATAGACTAGACTATAGACTAGACTATAGACTAGACTATAGACTAGACTATAGACTAGACTATAGACTATATAGACTAGACTATAGACTAGACTATAGACTAGACTATAGACTAGACTATAGACTAGACTATAGACTAGACTATAGACTAGACTATAGACTAGACTATAGACTAATAGACTATAGACTAGACTATAGACTAGACTATAGACTAGACTATAGACTAGACTATATAGTATTCTAGGTTATATACTAGGCTATGAACTATAGACTTTTAAAGTTTTAAATTGAAAATATAAGAATATTTGTTTAATTTTTTGTATAAATATATGTTTATTTTCTTTTGTTTATATTGACAAAATAACTGAATACAAATTTAAAGTTTAACATTCATGACGGGGACAACATTCAGGAAAAGGTTTGGTATTGTCTTGAGGTATTAATTTGCAGGTTTTCAAGCTTTGTTCCGGAGGGCAACTGGAAATAATGAGAAAATGTTACAATCTTTAATATTCTAAACGATATTTTAGTGTTAAATTGCAGAGCTGGTAAACTGTGTTTTTTAATTTTTCAAAATATTTTACATAAAATTGTTTTTCTAGAAAATCGAGTTCGAAAACTTGAAATGTTAAGAAAATTTCGACAGTTTCGAAATTCGAAATTAATTTTTCAAGCACTTACGTTTTGGCAGTAAAAGAATCAGGTCCATTACATTTAATTTCTGAACACTTGCCGGGCAAAGAGTAAGTTTCTCCCACTTTTACAACATGACCATCAATTTTGCAGTCATCGGCTAAAAATTAAAGGAAATATTTTCGAAATTGTTTTTAAACAATTATCATTAAATAACAATTAAATTAAATTACCTTGAACAAAAGCGAAAACAGCCAAAAAAGCGAACAAAACAAACAGGAAGCTCTTCATTTTTTCTGAGTAAAGATAATATTATTGTTATTTGATACGATCGCTGGAGGTTTCAGAAAACAACTGATTATCTTTAGCTAGAACTGGTCAGCTATTTATACAATTCTTTAGATCCAAAATTAGGATAAACAAGTTGTTTTTTTTTCTTCTTCTATTATTATTTGCAGAATAATTATTATTAAAAAAGATCAATAAATTAGGAACAAAAATATATATATAAACCGTTTCCTATTAGAAATGTTTTTAAATTTTAAATTATCTTGCATTTCTTTTTAAAATTGCATTGAAATTTAAACCCGTTTTCTATTATTTTAATTGAAAGTCTTGCTGTCTTAAATATTAAACTTAACTTTTTTAAAATCTAAATGCTTTAAACATTTCTTCTGGAAACAGTGTTAACAGCTACTGTATATTTGTTTTTGTTTTCTTTTTTAATTCCCAATATTTTTGTTAAAAATCAATATTTATTTAAGGATTTTTTATATTATAATTGTTTGCGTATGTCTAATAAAATAAATATCAATAATACTTATAATAATTAAAACAAACACTTTTTGACTCTGGGATTTTCTGTTAAATGCATGCAAGATACGCTTGTTTCAAAATAACATTATAAATATTCGTTTATTTTTAAATTTCTTTTCCAAAAAAATTAACATAAATATGGTGGAACATTTACAGGAACAACGTAATTGTCTAGACTTTATATACTATAAACATTTAGACTCGTCCAGAGTGTATAGCATGCATCTATTGTATAGTCTGGACTGTGGTCAAGTCTATAGTGTGGAATATATGTAGGACTATAATGTAGTCAATAGTCTGCACTATAGACTAGTCTATAGTCAGGACTATAGGATTTTTCATAGTCTAATCTGTAGTACGAACTATAATCATATCAACAATCTGGACTATACATAGTCTAGTCTAAAGTTTGGACTATAATAGAGTCTATAATGTTTACTATAGTCAAGACTATAGATAAGAATATACACTAGACTAGAGATAAGATATATTTTAGTATACTGTCTGGCCTGTAGTCGTCTATAGTTAGATATCCTCGTTTATAGTCGAAATATGTATAGTTTGGTATATATTATAGTTGATAGTCTAGTCTATAGTCTCTTGTATAGACTAGTCTATAGTCTCTTGTATAGACTAGTCCATAGTCTAGTTTATAGTCTAGTCTATAGTCTAATCTATAGTCTAGACTATAGTCTAGTCTATAGTCTAGTCTATAGTCTAGACTATAGTCTAGTCTATAGTCTAGTCTATAGTCTAGACTATAGTCTAGTCTATAGTCTAGTCTATAGTCTAGTCTATAGTCTAGTCTATAGTCTAGTCTATAGTCTAGTCTATAGTCTAGTCTATAGTCTAGTCTATAGGTCTAGTCTATAGTCTAGTCTATAGTCTAGTCTATAGTCTAGTCTATAGTCTAGTCTATAGTCTAGTCTATAGTCTAGTCTATAGTCTAGTCTATAGTCTATAGTCTAGTCTATAGTCTAGTCTATAGTCTAGTCCTATAGTCTAGTCTATAGTCTAGTCTATAGTCTAGTCTATAGTCTAGTCTATAGTCTAATCTATAGTCTAGACTATAGTCTAGTCTATAGTCTAGTCTATAGTCTAGTCTATAGTCTAATCTATAGTCTAGACTATAGTCTAGTCTATATTCTAGTCTATAGTCCAGTCTATAGTATAGTCTATAGTCTAGTCTATAGTCTAGTCTATAGTCTAGTCTATTTTCTAGTCTATAGTCCAGTCTATAGTCCAGTCTATAGTCCAGTCTATAGTCTAGTCTATAGTCTAGTCTATAGTCTAGTCTATAGTCTAGTCTATAGTCTAGTCTATAGTCTAGTCTATAGTCTAGTCTATAGTCTAGTCTATAGTCTAGTCTATAGCCTAGTCTATAGTCTAGTCTATAGTCTAGTCTATAGTCTAGTCTATAGTCTAGTCTATAGTCTAGTCTATAGTCTAGTCTATAGTCTAGTCTATAGTCTAGTCTATAGTCTAGTCTATAGTCTAGTCTATAGTCTAGTCTATAGTCTAGTCTATAGTCTAGTCTATAGTCTAGTCTATAGTCTAGTCTATAGTCTAGTCTATAGTCTAGTCTATAGTCTAGTCTATAGTCTAGTCTATAGTCTAGTCTATAGTCTAGTCTATAGTCTAGTCTAGTCTATGTCTAGTCTATAGTCCAGTCTATAGTCCAGTATAGTCAGTCTATAGTCCAGTCTATAGTCTAGTCTATAGTCTATAGTCTAGTCTATAGTCTAGTCTATAGTCTAGTCTATAGTCTAGTCTATAGTCTAGTCTATAGTCTAGTCTATAGTCTAGTCTATAGTCGTCTATGGTCTAGTCTATAGTCTAGTCTATAGTCTAGTCTATAGTCAGTCTATAGTCTATTCTATAGTTAGTCTATAGTCTAGTCTATAGTCTAGTCTATAGTCTAGTCTATAGTCTAGTCTATAGTCTAGTCTATAGTCTAGTCTATAGTCTAGTCTATAGTCTAGTCTATAGTCTAGTCTATAGTCTTCTAGTCATAGTCTAGTCTATAGTCTAGTCTATAGTCTAGTCTATAGTCTAGTCTATAGTCTAGTCTATAGTCTAGTATATAGTCTAGTATATAGTCTAGTCTATAGTCTAGTCTATAGTCTAGTCTATAGTCTAGTCTATAGTCTAGTCTATAGTCTAGTCTATAGTCCAGTCTATAGTCTAGTCTATAGTGTAGTCTATAGTCTAGTCTATTGTCTAGTCTATTGTCTAGTCTATAGTCTAGTCTATAGTCTAGTCTATAGTCTAGTCTATAGTCTAGTCTATAGTCTAGTCTATAGTCTAGTCTATAGTCTAGTCTATAGTCTAGTCTATAGTCTAGTCTATAGTCTAGTCTATAGTCTAGTCTATAGTCTAGTCTATAGTCTAGTCTATAGTCTAGTCTATAGTCTAGTCTATAGTCTAGTCTATAGTCTAGTCTATAGTCTAGTCTATAGTCTAGTCTATAGTCTAGTCTATAGTCTAGTCTATAGTCTAGTCTATAGTCTAGTCTATAGTCTAGTCTATAGTCTAGTCTATAGTCTAGTCTATAGTCTAGTCTATAGTCTAGTCTATAGTCTAGTCTATAGTCTAGTCTATAGTCTAGTCTATAGTCTAGTCTATAGTCTAGTCGATAGTCTAGTCGATAGTCTAGTCTATAGTCTAGTCTATAGTCTAGTCTATAGTCTAGTCTATAGTCTAGTCTATAGTCTAGTATAGTCTAGTCTATAGTCTAGTCTATAGTCTAGTCTATAGTCTAGTCTATAGTCTAGTCTATAGTCTAGTCTATAGTCTAGTCTATAGTCTAGTCTATAGTCTAGTCTATAGTCTAGTCTATAGTCTAGTCTATAGTCTAGTCTATAGTCTAGTCTATAGTCTAGTCTATAGTCTAGTCTATAGTCTAGTCTATAGTCTAGTCTATAGTCTAGTCTATAGTCTAGTCTATAGTCTAGTCTATAGTCTAGTCTATAGTCTAGTCTATAGTCTAGTCTATAGTCTAGTCTATAGTCTAGTCTATAGTCTAGTCTAGTCTAGTCTATAGTCTAGTCTATAGTCTAGTCTATAGTCTAGTCTATAGTCTAGTTATAGTCTAGTCTATAGTCTAGTCTATAGTCTAGTCTATAGTCTAGTCTATAGTCTAGTCTATAGTCTAGTCTATAGTCTAGTCTATAGTCTAGTCTATAGTTTAGTCTATAGTCTAATCTATAGTCTTGTCTATAGTCTAGTGTATAGTCTAGTGTATAGTCTAGTCTATAGTCTAGTCTATAGTCTAGTCTATAGTCTAGTCTATAGTCTAGTGTATAGTCTAGTCTATAGTCTAGTGTATAGTCTAGTCTATAGTCTAGTCTATAGTCTAGTCTATAGTCTAGTCTATAGTCTAGTCTATAGTCTAGTCTATAGTTTAGTCTATAGTTTAGTCTATAGTCTAGTCTATAGTCTAGTCTATAGTCTAGTCTATAGTCAAGTCTATAGTCTAGTCTATAGTCTAGTCTATAGCCTAGTCTATAGTCTAGTCTATAGTCTAGTCTATAGTCTAGTCTATAGTCTAGTCTATAGTCTAGTCTATAGTCTAGTCTATAGTCTAGTCTATAGTCTAGTCTATAGTCTAGTCTATAGTCTAGTCTATAGTCTAGTCTATAGTCTAGTCTATAGTCTAGTCTATAGTCTAGTCTATAGTCTAGTCTATAGTATGGTCTATAGTCTAGTCTATAGTCTAGTCTATAGTCTAGTCTATAGTCTGGTCTATAGTCTATATAGTCTAGTCTATAGTCTAGTCTATAGTCTAGTCTATAGTTTAGTATATAGTCTAGTCTATAGTCTAGTCTATAGTTTAGTCTATAGTCTAGTCTATAGTCTAGTCTATAGTCTAGTCTATAGTCAAGTCTATAGTCTAGTCTATAGTCTAGTCTATAGTCTAGTCTATAGTCTAGTCTATAGTCTAGTCTATAGTCTAGTCTATAGTCTAGTCTATAGTCTAGTCTATAGTCTAGTCTATAGTCTAGTCTATAGTCTAGTCTATACTCTAGTCTAAGTCTAGTCTAAGTCTAGTCTATAGTCTAGTCTATAGTCTAGTCTATAGTCTAGTCTTAGTCTAGTCTATAGTCTAGTAGTCTATAGTCGTCTATAGTCTAGTCTATAGTCTAGTTTATAGTCCAGTCTATAGTCTAGTCTATAGTCTAGTCTAGTCTATAGTCTATCTAGTCTATAGTCTAGTCTATAGTCTAGTCTATAGTCTAGTCTATAGTCTATCTATAGTCTAGTCTATAGTCTAGTCTATAGGTCTAGTCTATAGTCTATGTCTATAGTCTAGTCTATAGTCTAGTCTATAGTCTAGTCTATAGTCTAGTCTATAGTCTAGTCTATACTCCAGTCTATAGTCTAGTCTAGTCTATAGTCTAGTCTATAGTCTAGTCTATAGTCTAGTCTATAGTCTAGTCTATAGTCTAGTCTATAGTCTAGTCTATAGTCTAGTCTATAGTCTAGTCTATAGTCTAGTCTATAGTCTAGTCTAAAGTCTAGTCTAAAGTCTAGTCTATAGTCTAGTCTATAGTCTAGTCTATAGTCTAGTCTATAGTCTAGTCTATAGTCTAGTCTATAGTCTAGTCTATAGTCTAGTCTATAGTCTAGTCTATAGTTAGTCTATAGTCTAGTCTACAGTCTAATCTATAGTCTTGTCTATAGTCTAGTCTATAGTCTAGTCTATAGTCTAGTCTATAGTCTAGTGTATAGTCTAGTGTATAGTCTAGTCTATAGTCTAGTCTATAGTCTTGTCTATAGTCTGGTCTATAGTCTAGTCTATAGTTTAGTCTATAGTTTAGTCTATAGTCTAGTCTATAGTCTAGTCTATAGTCTAGTCTATAGACTAGTCTAGTCTATAGTCTAGTCTATAGTCTAATCTATAGTCTAGTCTATAGTCTAGTCTATAGTCTAGTCTATAGTTTAGTCTATAGTCTAGTCTATAGTCTAGTCTATAGTCTAGTCTATAGTCTAGTCTATAGTCTAGTCTATAGTCTAGTCTATAGTCTAGTCTATAGTCTAGTCTATAGATTAGTCTATGGTCTAGTCTATAGTCTAGTCTATAGTCTAGTCTATAGTCTAGTCTATAGTTTAGTTTATAGTCTAGTCTATAGTCTAGTCTATAGTATAGTCTATAGTCAAGTCTATAGTCTATAGTCTAGTCTATAGTCCTAGTCTGTAGTCTAGTCTGTATTCTAGTCTTTAGTCTAGTCTATAGTCTAGTCTATAGTCTTGTCTATAGTCTAGTCTATAGTCTTGTCTATAGTCTAGTCTATAGTCTTGTCTATAGTCTAGTCTATATTATGTTTATATTTTCTTATTTACACTTTTAAAAAAATTCCCAACCCATAGTGCCCACTATTTATGGCCATTTCTAATCCACTTGTTATTGTTGTTTTCTTTAGCTTTTGTTTCTATTTGAAAATCTGTTATATTCTACGCAAATTTTTAAGCCAAAGTTGTTTTTTGAAATATTTATTGTAAATTATGATCAGTTTATTTCAAAGTTAAAATTTATTTATTTTTTGTTATTGGTTTTGCTATAACATCATCTTTTTATTAATAAATTTTTTTCACACTATTATTATTATTTAAATCTATCCAATGAAAGCAACAAAATTTAATCACAATGTTTTAAAACAAAAACAGCTAAATTAGTCACCCTCTAGAAAGAAATTACAAACAAAGGAATTGTAGAAATTTAGAAAATGTTATTTCAGTCAACGAGAAACTCTGTAAACATAAAGTTAAAAAAAAGCGAAACGGTCAAAAGTTATATAAATCTGAATAAAATTACAAGAAAAAAATTTGAAAATTTGAATAAATCTAATAAAAATATTAAAATTTTAAATCAAATATTGAAAAAGAGAAATTGAAATTTAAGTGCTTTTACAACTTTTAATTACAAAAGGTCTATAAAAATTATTGACGAAAACGCAAAAGTCATTAAAAAATTAAAAAAGTTTAAAGTCCAATTTATAATATTCTGGACAAGTATGTAGTCTATTGTCTAGACTAAAGACTAATGTGTCTATAGTCTATTCCATAGTCTAGTTTATGTTCTAGCATATAGGCTATAATCTCTTCCATAGTATAGTATATGATCTAGCCTATAGGCTAGTATATATTCTAGTCTATAATCTAGTCTATAGTCTGGACAATATTATAGACTATAGTTTGGACTATAGTATAGACTATTGTCTTTACTATGGTATTGACTATTGTCTATGCTATTGTTTACTCTATTGTCTGGCATATAGTTTAGCCTTCAATCTTTACTATAGTTAATAGTCTTGACTATAGTCTAGTCCATAGCATAGACTATAGTATGAACTATAGTAAAGACTATACTCTGGACTATAATATACACTACTGTCTGGACTATTGTCTGGACTATAATCTGAAATATAGTAAAAACTATAGAAGAGACTAAAGTCTCTTCTTTATTACAGACTATAGTCTGAACTATTATATAGACTACAGTCTGGACTATAATTTAGTCTACAGTGTGGACTATAGTTCAGTCTGTAATCAAGTCTGTAGTCTAGTCTATAATATAGTCAATAGTCAAGTCTATAGTCTTGTCTATTGTTTAGTCTAGTATATAGTGTAGTCTGTAGTCTAGTCAATAGTCTAGTCTATAGTTTAGTCTATTCTATAGTCTAGTCAATAGTCTAGTCTAGTCTATAGTCTAGTCTATAGTCTAGTCAATAGTCTAGTCTAGTCTATAGAGTCTATAGTCTAGTCTATAGTCTAGTCTATAGTCTAGTCTATAGTCTAGTCTATAGTCTAGTCTATAGTCTAGTCTATAGTCTAGTCTATAGTCTAGTCTATAGTCTAGTCTATAGTCTAGTCTATAGTCTAGTCTATAGTCTAGTCTATAGTCTAGTCTATAGTCTAGTCTATAGTCTAGTCTATAGTCTAGTCTATAGTCTAGTCTATAGTCTAGTCTATAGTCTAGTCTATAGTCTAGTCTATAGTCTAGTCTATAGTCTAGTCTATAGTCTAGTCTATAGTCTAGTCTATAGTCTAGTCTATAGTCTAGTCTATAGTCTAGTCTATAGTCTAGTCTATAGTCTAGTCTATAGTCTAGTCTATAGTCTAGTCTATAGTCTAGTCTATAGTCTAGTCTATAGTCTAGTCTATAGTCTAGTCTATAGTCTAGTCTATAGTCTAGTCTATAGTCTAGTCTATAGTCTAGTCTATAGTCTAGTCTATAGTCTAGTCTATGGTCTAGTCTATAGTCTAATCAATAGTCTAGTCTAGTCTATAGTCTAGTCTATAGTCTAGTCTATAGTCTAGTCTATAGTCTAGTCTATAGTCTAGTCTATAGTCTAGTCTATAGTCTAGTCTATAGTCTAGTCTATAGTCTAGTCTATAGTCTAGTCTATAGTCTAGTCTATAGTCTAGTCTATAGTCTAGTCTATAGTCTAGTCTATAGTCTAGTCTATAGTCTAGTCTATAGTCTAGTCTATAGTCTAGTCTATAGTCTAGTCTATAGTCTAGTCTATAGTCTAGTCTATAGTCTAGTATAGTCTAGTCTATAGTCTAGTCTATAGTCTAGTCTATAGTCTAGTCTATAGTCTAGTCTATAGTCTAGTCTATAGTCTAGTCTATAGTCTAGTCTATAGTCTAGTCTATAGTCTAGTCTATAGTCTAGTCTATAGTCTAGTCTATAGTCTAGTCTATAGTCTAGTCTATAGTCTAGTCTATAGTCTAGTCTATAGTCTAGTCTATAGTCCTAGTCTATAGTCTAGTCTATAGTCTAGTCTATAGTCTAGTCTATAGTCTAGTCTATAGTCTAGTCTATAGTCTAGTCTATAGTCTAGTCTATAGTCTAGTCTATAGTCTAGTCTATAGTCTAGTCTATAGTCTAGTCTATAGTCTAGTCTATAGTCTAGTCTATAGTCTAGTCTATAGTCTAGTCTATAGTCTAGTCTATAGTCTAGTCTATAGTCTAGTCTATAGTCTAGTCTATAGTCTAGTCTATAGTCTAGTCTATAGTCTAGTCTATAGTCTAGTCTATAGTCTAGTCTATAGTCTAGTCTATAGTTTAGTCTATAGACTAGTTATTAGTATAGTCTATAGTCTAGTCTATAGTCTTTTCTAGTCTAGTGTATAGTCTAGTTTTTAATCTAATCTATAGTCTAGCCTACAGTTTAGTCTATAATCTAGTCTATTCTGTAGTTTAGTCTAGAGTCTAGTCCAAAGTCTAGAGTGTAGTTAGTAAACATAGTATTCGGTTTCAGATTTCTTGCTAAAATTTTAACTTAAACATGCATCATAAACCTCAACTTCTTATTGCAATAATGGCTGCTTTTGCCTGGAACGTGATGCCATTTAGTCTTCAATTTATGGGGAATATGCAGCATCCGGGTAGGATACCATAATCGAGTTAATACAATTAATAAACTATTAAAATTGTCTCTCGTTGTATATAGATCTACCAAATCACTGTTATTTTGAAGAGTATAACATTACCATACCGGTAAATAGAACAGTTTATCCTACTAATTTGGATGCGGTATGTTTCAAGGTCTATTGCCGGGAAGACTATGTATTGCAAATTAAACAGTAAGTGTTTTCTTAATATTAAAATTTTTCTATAGTTTATATTAATTAATTTATTATTATTTCAGTTGTGATCGTATGATGGCTCCCCGACACTGTGATGAAAGTCCCTATGACTTTAGTAAACCTTATCCTCAATGTTGCCCCATTCTTAAATGCAAAAATGATATTTATTTTTAAGAAAAATTTAAATTGTTTTTATTTTTAAATTATTTATATTTTATTAGTATTATGGATTAGTTGGTGTAAAATTTATTTATTTTCTTATTTATTTTATAATTTTAATTTATTTAAAATACTTTTTTATTAAAAATAACTAATAAAAATATTGTTTTTAGTTTACCTTTTGTATATTTAACCTAGTAATCTATATATTAAGCTGATCTTTTTCAAGGTCAGCTAAAAAGCTTGGTTTCATTGATAAGAGGGAATTTAGATTGTTTTTTAGAAAAGATAAGGACTTTAATTTTGGTTCCAAACTTTTATTTATGTTTTCTTTAATTAGTTTTAATTAAAATGTTTAAGCAACGACAAGTATTTTTAGCATTATTGGCCGTAGTTGCTGTAAATGCTGCCAGTTTTAGTTTACAGTACAAGGGCAATATGAGACATCCAGGTAAATCAGTATAACTCTTTTCTCTATATATTGTTTTATATAACTTTGTTTCTTTTCATAGATCTCCCCAATCATTGTTATTTTACCGATCATGATCTCACGATTCCCTTCAATAAGACCCTCTATCCTACCAATTTAAAGAATACCTGTATTAAAGTATTTTGTCGTGAGGATTATGTATTGGAAATTAGACAGTAAGTGGTTTGTTTAATTAATTGTTTATTGTTGTTATATATCCAATATAATTTTCAGTTGTGAAAATCTGGCTCCAAATCGTGTCTGTCATCATACTGCTTACGATTATACCCAACCGTTCCCTGACTGTTGTCCCATAGTTACATGTGAGGATAGAGTTTTGCGTAATCCAAATTATTAAAATAAATAATATTTAACATCAAACAAAATATATCAATTATTTCTAAAGTGAACTTAGGATCAATTGTAATCCGGTATAAAGTCTGGACTATAACACAGTTCATAGCTTGGACTATAGTATAGAAAATAGTCTGAATTATAGTCAGAACTGTAATTTGAACTATAATAGCTTATAGTAAAGACTATAGTCTGGTCTATAGTCAGGACTTTAGTATATATATGTAATCCGGTATAAAGTCTGGACTATAACACAGTTCATAGCTTGGCTATAGTATAGACAATAGTCTGAACTATAGTCCGAACTGTAATTTGAACTATAATAGTTTATAGTAAAGACTATAGTCTGGTCTATAGTCAGGACTTTAGTATAGACTATAGTATTGAATATAGAATGGACTGTAGTATAGACTATAGTTTGGACTATAGTACAGAATATAGTTTGAACTATAGTATAGACTATAGTCTACTTATATAGTCTGGACTTTTGTATAGACTATAATCTGGACTTTTGTATAGACTATAGTCTGGACTATAGTATAGAATATGGTGTGGTCTATAGTCTGGCCTATAGTATGGAGTATACTATAGACTATAGTCTGTATAGTAGAATAGACTAAAGTCTGAACTATAGTATGGTGGAATAGTGGAATAGACTAAAGTCTAGACTATAGTATAGAGTATATTCTGGACTATAGTCTATGCTTTAGTCTGGACTATAGAATTGAGTATAGTGTGGACTATAGTATTGACTCTAGTCTGGATATTGTATAGACTATAGTCTGGACTATAGTATATACTATAGCCTTGTCTATATACTGGACTATAGTCTAGTCTATATTCTGGACTATATTTTAGTGTATTGTTTGGCCTATAGTTTAGTCTATAATCGTTACTATAGTCTAGCCTATAGTTTGAAATATGGTATAAACTCTGGACTAAAGTCTGGACTATATTATATACTATAGTCTGAACTATAATATAGACTATCGTTTAGTCTATAGTCTGGACTATAGGTTAGTCTATAGTTTGGACTATGATTTAGTTTATAGTATGGACTATAGTTTAATCTACAGTCTGGACATTTGTCTAGTCTATACTCCGGACTATAGTCTAGCCTATAGTCTGCGCTGCAGTTTAGTCTTTAGTTTAGACTATAGTCTGCATTGTGGTTTAGCCTTTATACTGGACTATAGTTTAGTTTATAGTTTGGTCCTTTGTCTAGTCCATACTGCGGACTATAGTTTTGTCTATACTCCGGACTATAGTCTAATCCATAGTCTGGACTAAAGTCTAGCCTATTGTGTGGACAATTGTCTAGCCTATATTCTGGACTAGTCAATAAACTTTACAATAGTCTAGTTAACCGCCTGGACTTTTGTCTGGTCAATAATCTATAGTGTGGACTATAATACAGATCGGATTATAGTCTAAAATATAGACCACTGGCCAGTCCATGATATTCTCTAGAGTATAGATTATAAAATAAATAAGCCATAGTATATTACTATATACTGTGGGATAGATTGGACAAGATTCCAGTCAACAATAATGACTAATGTTAAATCTGTAATAAAGTCTAGCCTAGTCATTAAACTATAATCCGCAGTGTCTTTATAAATATTTAAATTAACGGTTTTAATGCTTATTTAATTATATTTATTAAAAAAAAAACTATTGTTCGGTTCTGTTTTATTGTTAAACAAAATAAAACAGGTTTATAATCAAGTCAATATTGAAACTTGTTTTTCTTTCCGAATAATTTAAGCAAATATAAACAAAATTCAAGCGAATTGAGAAAAAAAAAAAACATTAAAATATAAACTTGATAAAAAAAAAATAGGTCAGTAATATAAATAAAACTGATTCGATGATGATGATGTCAAAATATTATAATAATTATAAGTATTCAAAATCAATATTTATGTAAATCATTTTCAATACTAGAGAAATAAACACTTAATAAATTATTAATATTAATTTATCGTGAACACACTTCAAAGACGGAAATTAATTGATTAATAACTATTTACATTATTTTCAAATGTCTAGCTGTCTTTAGCTTCTCCAGATGTTATCTTGATTAGGGGTCATTATCTCCGTTAATAGTTAAGTGTTTAAGTTAAATTTACTACTTTAACGTTAAAGCTAGGTTGAATTACAAAACGGCACCAGTCTGTCTAATAGTTAATGCGCAAAGTCTTAATTTTTCTTGATCTCCCACTTAAAAACAAAACCCTCAATATTTTTCTTAATTCCCCGTAAAACCCTTAAAATTTAAGTTTCAAGTTTAATGTTTATTAATATTTGCTTTTTAACAAAGTATTAAACATTTATTTGTCTTAAACAAATTAACATTTCTTATTTAAATATCATATTAAATAATAACTTGTAGTGATAAGTATAAGGTGTCATTACAACTTTTTATATCTTTTTTAAAGTTATGATAATATTTACTAAGAATTTTAACGGGATTTTTTATACTAAAAAATTAAAGTAAACTGTCAAGGTCATGAATTTCTTTGTGAAAACAAAGTAAATAAAAGTATTTTTATAAACTTTTACTGGATATTGAATAGACTACATATATAGTCCAGAATTTAGACTATAGATTAGATAGGACTATAGACTACTCTATAGATTACACTATAGACTAGATTATAGTCTTGACTTGACCACAGACTAAACCATAAACTAGACTATAGAGTAGACTGTAGATTAGACTATAGACTATACTATAGCCTAGACCATAGACTGGACCACACACTAGGCCATAGGCTACACTATAGACAAGACTATAGACTAGACTATAGAATAGGCTATAGACAGGACTATAGACTAGATAATAGATTAGATAGCAGGCTAGATTAAACATAAGACTTTAGACTAGACTACAAATTGCACAATAGACTGGACTATAGATTAGACTATAGACTAGACCATAACCTAGTCTAAATACTAAACTATAGATCAGACTCCAGAATAGATTATAGAATGGACCATAGACAGGACTATAGACTACATAATAGATTAGATTAAACACAAGACTATAGACTAGACTACAAACTGCACTATAGACTAGGCTATAGATTAGGCCGTAGGCCAAACTATAGATTCGATTACAGAGAAGATTTTAGACCAGACTATAAACAAGACTATGGACTAGAATATAGACTAGACTCTATATTGGACGATAGACTACACAATGGACTAGACTATGGAATAGACTATAAACTAGACTATAGTTACTATAGACTACACTATATACTAGACTATAGACTAGACTATAGACTAGACTATAGACTAGACTATAGACTAGACTATAGACTAGATTATACTTAGACTAGACCATAGACTAGACTATAGACTAGACTATAGACTAGACTATAGAATAGACTATATACCAGACTATAGACAAGACTGTAGACTAGACTGTACACTAAATTATAGATTTGACTATAGACTCGACTGTAGACTGGATTATAGACTAGATTATAGACTAGACTATAGACTAGACTACAGACTAGACTAAAGACTAGACTAAAGACTAGACTATAGACTAGTCCAGACTATAGACTAGACTATAGTCCAGACTATAGACTAGGCTATAGTTTAGACTATGGACTAGGCTATAGACTAGACTATAGTCCAGACTATAGACTAGACTATAGTCCACACTGTAGACTATATTCTACACTATAGACTAGACTATATTCTACATTATACACTAGACTATAGTCTACACTATAGACTAGATTATAGTCCAGACTATAGACTAGACTATAGTCCAGACTATAGACTAGACTATAGTCCAGATTATAGACTAGACTATAGTCCAGACTATAGACTGAACTATAGTCCAGACTATAGACTGAACTATAGTTCAGACTATAGACTGAACTATAGTCCAGACTATAGACTGAACTATAGTCCAGACTATAGACTGAACTATAGTCCAGACTATAGACTGAACTATAGTCCAGACTATAGACTGAACTATAGTCCAGACTATAGACTGAACTATAGTCCAGACTATAAACTACACTATAGTCTACAGTCAAATCTATAGTTTAGTCTACAGTCTTGTCTATAGTCTAGACTATAGACTATACTATATACTAGACTATAGACAAGACTGTAGACTATACTGTAGACTAAACTATAGATTTGACTATAGACTCGACTGTAGACTGGACTATAGACAAGACTATAGACTAGATTATAGACTAGACTATAGTCCAGATTATAGACTAGACTATAGTCCAGACTATAGACCGAACTATAGTACAGACTATAGACTGAACTATAGTCCAGACTATAGACTGAACTATAGACTGAACTATAGTCCAGACTATAGACTGAACTATAGTCCAGACTATAGACTGAACTATAGTCCAGACTATAGACTGAACTATAGTCCAGACTATAGACTAGACTATAGTCCAGACAATAGACTAGACTATAGTCCAGATTATAGACTAGACTATAGTCCAGACTATAGACCGAACTATAGTCCAGACTATAGACTGAACTATAGTCCAGACTATAGACTGAACTATAGTCCAGACTATAGACCGAACTATAGTCCAGACTATAGACTGAACTATAGTCCAGACTATAGACTGAACTATAGTCCAGACTATATACTGAACTATAGTCCAGACTATAGACTAGACTATAGTCCAGACTATAAACTAGACTATAATCCAGACTAAAGACTATACTATAATCCAGACTAAAGTCCAGACTATAGACTAGACTATAGTCCAGACTATAGACTAGACTATAGTCCAGACTATAGACTAGACTATAGTCCAGACTATAGGCCAGACTATACTCCAGACTATAGGCTAGACTGTAGTCCAGACTATAGAGTACGTTTTAGTTCAGTTTGTCGTCCAGGCTATAGATTAAGTAATAAAATTTAAAAAAAAAACTTTTTTTTAATTAACTAACATTTTCTTTGGAGTTTAACAAATATAATTTATTATTATTAGTTCCTCCTAAATATTTTTTTGCCACATTTAATCAA